CTGTACATTCCCTAAAAGTTTTGCTTGGGTGATTGCAGTGCAGTCTCACGTTGTTTCACGTCGCAAAGACCAAGACGCTGAGTTGCGCCCACATTTGGCTGAAGGGGAAAAAAAGATTGAGCTCGCAAGGGCCTCTTGTAACGTGACAGGCGACCATCATTCTTTCAAAATTTCTTCTTTCAGTCACCTGCAGACCCCAAGCGCGCCGGCCGACAGCCAAACCTAGTTTTGGGCAATCTTGGCCCGAGAAGAAACTCAGCCTCCGGATTCAGAAAGCGGTCACTGCTTTCCACGAGATATTTCCAGGGACATCGCTACTTGGCTTCTGAGCTTGAAATAGATCACCAATGGAAGCTCAGTTTCTGCTTCGTAACCCACCAGGCACCTAGGCTTGGATGCCAATTAGGAAATGAAAAAAATATTTCATTCAGGTTTTGAATCAAGGATGGGATAATGAAAGAGATTTTCGGATTCATTTTTGAGTTCGACATTTTGTAACTGATTTCTTTGCTGAAAAAAATATTGAAAAAAAATTTGACTTCATTGTCACGCCGATATTTGAAAGCAATATATTGTATTATTTAGTATATGTAAAAGCCAAAAAACCGCACATATAAACGATCGGTAAATCTGAATTAATATGCGACTTCGATTGTTGAGTCTATTAATCCAAATTTGTTATCTAGGTTTGGGGCGGCACAAAGCGCATGGAGCCATATTTATTCAAGGCCGCAATCACGATACCAATGTGTAAATCTCGCATGAAACCGCACCTATGCGGATATTATTCGTGGTATCCACACAACAATATCGTTGAGACCGGCTCTATCATGGCTGTGCATTCGAAGCCAAAAAAAACATGGAGTGGCTTGTGGAGTCAGAAAACATGATTGATTGCGCTTGGGCGGATATTAGAGGCACAAGTAATGGATAGCAAGAGTTGAAACATTTCAGTGTGCAATAGAGCAACATCTTCATTTTTTTGGGACAGACTGCTCTCCATGATGAGGTACAGCTGGTTTTTCTTCTTGAAAGATTGAGCCGTAGTGGTGGGTGGGCCAATTTTGGGCTTTTGGGTCGCACGTCTATTGAAGGAAAGCCGGAAATCTTCAAAATCCTCTCTGCGTTTTCCTTGCAAGAAAAAAATTTAAATTGTGGCGTCCGGCGTGGTCGCGTAAAGAGTAATGCAGAAAGAAAGGGGGACTCTAAGCTCAATTTGTTCGATGTCTGAATGGATAGTTCTAATCAGAATCAAGATTTAGGAAATAACAAAAATTATTCCATTCAGGATGTGAAACAAGGGTTTGGATAATGTAAAATTTTTCCGCGTTCTTTGCCTTCTGGTATATATACGATCTTGCAAGATTTCCTATATTTTATAGGTCAAGGCGCGACGGAATGCGATGCTGCCGGCTCTTGGACAGCGAGCAAATCAATTCATTTGTCCGCGCAGAACAATTGGATAGCATTTATAGCAGCCCCGTCGTTGTTTTCGGACCATACGAGCCCCAAGCCTGTTGCGCCAAGAATCAACTTTGACAGGGATGCCAGGCATCCGCACAAAGGCCGCCAGATTGCAAAAGTGCGCGTCCGAATAGCGTACGTAAAATGTGTATCCCAGTCGTACTCTCCTGGGTATTCTTGGGTCCGTAATGGATCGTCCATCATCTCCTTAGGTACTGCGTGACTTTCCGAGAGTACCAAAAGCCACATATCTAGCCGAAACAGGAAATCCAAACTGCTCCTCGGGATCGGAAGAGGCTGGGTCCAAATAATGCATGGCATGGGCTCCACAAACACGGTCTCTGTCACCTCGCGCCAGAAAAGGTGCCAGATACTTCTGCATAGAATGGCAAACCTGGCCATGCATGCAGCCTGTGCGAGCAAATCTCGTCGTCTCTTCCAAACGCTGAACGGGCTTCTCAACTATCCGACCCAGGAGCGGAGAATGGAAACATAAGGGGAAGTTTATGAGCCCGACCAGAAACGGAACGGATTACGAAAGGTGCTCAATGGGAGCGAAGCTTCGTGGGCGCGGCACCCATCCAGGAAACATGGGAAGCTCAGCTTCTTAAGGATTTTTTGTTGTAAGATTTGGGTGTCTCAGCACCAGTTTGCGTCCAGATCGAGCCAAGGTGTTAGCACCACTTCGGCTTGGGATCAAAGCCTGGGTGCCTGTACAAGGCTCTGCACATGGGCATGCATCTGCGCGGTGGAATCGCGGCAGCATTCCAGCGCAGACTCCGTCTCAGATAGCAGAAGACACCAGCGTTTGCAAAAGACGACGATGTTCGCTCGCAGAGGCTGCATGGCCAGGTTTGCAATTCTATGCAGAAGATTTGGCGCCCCCCTCACGCCAGATGGGCTGCGCGAGGTGACAAAGACCGTGTGCGTGGGGCCCATGCATTTTGGATTTCCGGTTTCGGCTAGTTCTGTGGCTTTGGGTACTCTCGGGAAGTCACGCAGCACCTAACGAGATGATGGACGATCACGAGATGATGGACGATCCGTTACGGACCCAAGAGTACCCAGCAGGGTACGACTGGGATACATATTTTGCGTACGCTATTCGCCGCGCATTTTTGCAATCTGGCGGCCTTTGCGCGGATGTCTGGCATCCCTGTCGAGGTTTACTCTTGGTGCAAAGGCTTGAAGCTTGTATGGTCCGCAAACAACGACGGGGCTGCTGCAGGCTATCCAATTGCGCTGCGCGGGCACATGATTTTTGATTTGCTCGCTGTCAAAAAGGCGGCAACTTCGCATCCCGTCGCGCCCTGACCATACATAAGAGAAGGTTCTGGAACATGGACATATCTTGCAAGATCGTTCACGTGATAGAAAGAAAGATATATTTCAATAAAAATTTAAAATATAGAAAATCTTGCAAGACTATATATATACGAGTAGGCAAAGAGTACGGAAAAATCTTACAAGACCGTAAATATGAAATAAGATTTCAGAATACATGAAGAAATTTTGCAAAATCATATATATGAGAGGGAACAAAATTCATTTGAAAGAAATGAAATAGTTAGAAAAAATCTTATAAGATGGTAAATATAAGAAAAAGAAAAATAAGATTCAAGAAAGCTATGGCATATTAGATCATATATATATGAGAGAAAGAAAGATAGAATGGAATCAAATTGTGAATTATGGAGATTTTTTCAAAGATCCTAGAAATGGCACAAGACTATATATATATATATGAGAAGATAAGATAGATTTAAAAGAGATAAAGAAATCATGAAATATGAGATAAAATATCCTCCAAGAATATATATATGAGAGAAGGCAAGATAGATTTGAAAAAATTATAGAAAATAATCCAAAAATTATTTTGCAAGATTATATATCTGAGAGAAGGCAAGATAGATTTGCAAGAATTTATGACATATAAATAAAATACTACAAGATCGTATATATGAGACAAATCAAGATAATTTGAATGAATATAGAATATGGCAAAACCTTACAAAATCGTATAGATGAGAGAAGGCAATATAATTTTGAATAAAAATTTGATATCTGGCAAATTCTTGAAAGAATATATATATATATAAGAGAAGGTAACATAGATTTCAATAAAATTATAGAATATGGCGAAATTCTGCAAAATTATATAAATGAGAGATAACAAGATAGAGTTGAAAGAAATTATGAAATATAATAAAAGCCTACCACATTAAGATCGTATACATAAAAGAAGGCAAGATAATTTCGAATAAAAATATGGAATATGGCAAAATCCTGAAAGATCAGATCTCTGAGAGAAGATAAAATAGAATTAAAAGAAATTATGGAATATAAAGAAATCCTGGAAGATCATATACATAAGAGAAGATAAGATAGATTTAAAAGAAATTATGGAAGATAATGAAATCCTATAAGATCATATATATGAGAGAAGACAAGATAAATTTGAGGTAAGTTATGAAACAAAAAACAAAGATAAATCTTATAAAATCGTATATATGAGAGAAGTATCGATTTATATAAAATAAAAATCCAAATACGAAAAATAATAAATAGAAGAATACCTCCCATTACTAATAAAAATAAATAGAAGCGACCTATCGTATTACCTAAAAAATAAATAAAAAAGATTTTTCGTATTACTTAAAAAATAAATAGAAGAGACCTATCGTATTACCTAAAAAGTAAATAAAAGAGTCTCTTCCATTATTTAAATCCAAATTCCAAAAAATATACCCGAATCAAAACTCCAAGATTCTTAACTTAGACCCCCGACCACGCGAGACACCATACCCAAAAATATCTTATAAATCTATCTCGCGACAATTTAAATAATTTTAATATTCAAAACCTAATATATTCTTCGTTCAAATTTTCTTCTGTGCTTTTCGGACGGCTTTAAAATCAATCTTCAAATTTTCTTTTTTAAGACATATTTTTCGTTTTCTTACCGTGAATTATCATAAAAATTTCGGAATTTTTTATAATCACGAATACGACCATCGAAAATTCTATTCCCGACAATTTAGTACCTTTCAAACTACCAAAATATCGGAAACCTTAATAATTAAATTTCCAAGAACTACGAAAATTTCAGAAATTATAGATGACGAAGTGCTCCAAATACTAAAATTTCCGAAATTTTAATGTCGCGAAAATACGAAAGAAGCGCCAAAAAAACAAAGTTTCAATAGCACCACGACAACCGCGCGCACAAAAAAACAAAAGCGACAAACACGACACCTTCTATATAGGTCTATATACATATATATGTATTATATCGATAGACTCAAGAAATTCTCTTTATTCTTATATATTCTAAATAATTCTTTTGAAATCTTTTGTATAATTCGATAAATTAGTACTTCCTTAAAACCTATTTCCAGCAGATAAACGAATACAATGGATAATTAATGTTTTTTGCCATAAATAAATATTAAATAAATTTCTGAGATCATAGAAATCTCCAGCTGCTGACCATAGATATAACCAAATTATTTTGGAACCCGTAGGATTTAGGAAACGTCTGAGCATCTCATCCTCATCAAGGCGCTGCGCTTCTGCCATTGCCGCCGCAAATCCTGCGACAGATCTTTTAGACAAGATATTTTGCCAACACAAACCCCAAACAGCGAGACAGCACAGCGCTTTCCCAGCCGATCTGTGTGGCTAAACCCAGATCACCGGATCTAAAAAGCAGGCAGCTTGCTTTGCAAGCCTAAAACACTTTCACCTGCAACCCTCAGCCGAACTTGCTGAAGCTCTGATGACCCAGTCTCACACTCACGAACGGCTATTCAAGTGGTGAATGCAGCCCTGCGCAGCCTATGGAAGGTGAAAGACAAAGTAAGGCCACAACCAAACTCCAATTTCAATTATGACCAGCTATTCTAGCACCTATTGGTGACTTTCACAGCTCAAAAATTGAATGCAGCCCGTTTGAACAGTTCAAGTGCAGCAAGCTCCGGAATTTGGCAATGAAAAAGAAAGAATTTCTGTAGGTTTCTGGCCTTGCTAAATTGGTGCTGGACTATGATAAGCTACCTCTGGCTACAGTAGGAGGTTTGCGCACACGGGGTTCGCCGCTCATTGCTTTTCCTACACTCCACCTGTTGAACTTTTATGCTGCTCAAGAACATGTGCACCTTTAGATCGGAGTCCAGGCTGAAAGGACATGTCGCAAGTTAGCAACTTTGCTATGATGAACCCGACGCTCTCATGTGCTTCTCCTTTGGACTTCTGAATCTTCTTCAATGCTTGCAAATCCTTTGCTGCTTTCCTGAGGCAAAAAGGAACCCTATCGTGTTTGGTGAAGTTCGGGAGGAGTTTCTGGTTCAACACTTGGCAGGGCATTTCGAACTCGAAAAGGGTCTCAACGCCAAGCATCTGCCACGTCTCTCGCAGCGGGCCAGCGCTGTGCCCGCTGCCTTGGGCCTGCACGATTGCGAAGAAGCCTGGGCAACATCAGAAACATGCCGGTGCAAGTTTGGAACCCAATCTTCTGGTGGATGACGAGAGGATGCTGATGTACACTTGTGCCAAGAAACAAAGCTCCTCGCCCATCCCGAAGTCGCAAAAAACCGCATCGAGATCTTGCATGTCTTTTCCAGCCTTGAACTTTTTCCTCGCTTGTGCAAGAAATTGCACCGCAGCCTGGGCTCGGGCGTGCAACTTCGCGTTGTTCTTTGCCTGCAGTTTCCTTGCAGCCTTCATGGCGGCATTGTCGGCACGGATTTTGTCGTAATGCTTCTTGTGGGCCTCTCCAGACATTTCAATAGACTTCTGGCACATGCCACGAACTGCCCGCAGAAACACATCGTGATCGCATGTTGGCATCAGCGCTTTGATTCCTGGAGCATACCCGACAAAATACAACAATCAATCAGACTTTCCGTCTTAAGAACATACAGCGGGAAAAGGATTGCAAACCTAAGCCTTTTTTGAGCACCAGGTGTCGCGTGCGGCAGTGGAGCACCCATCGAAGATCTGTAGTTCGAAAGAAGCGGAAGAGCTTGTGCTTCTCGCCATTTCTGAAGTACATGCGCAAAGCAAAGGTCAGGGTGGGAGCTCGTCCTCCCTGTTGTGTATGCTCATCGAGGATGGACTGGAGAGTCTCAGAGACCAACGGGTAGTCATCTGCATGCCCTTGACTGAAGATCTCTTTTGCCAAACGCTGGAACTTCATGAGGATGATGTGCCAATCGATAGCCTCGACCAGATGTGTAGAGGAGCTGGCAACTTCGAGCCAGTCGAAGCCTAAGCTTTCCGAATTCAAGAGTTCGGGCTTTGGAGTTCTCATGAAGTATTTGAAGGCCGCAGTGTGTGAAGGTTTGGGGTGCAATGAAAGCTTGAAAGTCATAAATGCGGTGACATGTCTGAGAAAGTGTACTCCAAACACGGAGTGCAGGATGCTAGAAGAACCCCGAAATCTCACACCAACAGCTTTTTGAAACCTCCATTTGCAAACCAACCGTGTTAGTACATGTACATGTTCGAGCAGCTTCTCCATAAATCTCAACGTCTGTGGTTTCTGGATTGCTTTCAGCACAAGCCTGATATGTAAGATTCGGAAACTTCCTAGAGTTCTGGGGCCGAACACACATGCTCCTGTAGTTTCGGAGCTTTAATCCATTTAGAGAAGTTTTTGGGAAATAGATCGGGGGTTCAGGGTGTAGGGTTCGCCTCCAGAAAGTGCACCCGAGCTGCACATCACCAGGTTGAAGCTTCGTGGCCCAACCTGCGCACTGTCCGACTGGAGTTGCATTCCAGTGATCAGGGTTCGAGCCGTGCTGCATGTGCTTGTTGCCAACTCACAAACGGGACATTGCGTCTCCAAAGACTCCGCAAGAATCAATGGTTAGCTACGCACCAACCAGTTAGCTTCTCGAAATTTTCAGTTGAAAGGGGAACCGATGTGATTAGCAGCAACTCACACAGACTCAGACGTGTCCAACCCTGATCCGACCTTTCGAATGTGCTTCTGCATGTGTTGGCAGGCTTTCTCGCCCAGACTGTCCTGAGGCACGCGGCTGAGCGACACTCGGGCATGTTGCACCAAAACGCACTAAGCGCGTCGATACACCAATGCAGAAGCCCTACTTGAAGTGTATAGTTGTGATGCCTTCGCGCAGTTCGAAACTCCACGCTTGTTTACCTACCATAGCAATGGTAGCCCCCAAGGCCAGCTACCCTGTCTGAACCGGTAACCTGGAGCCATCCGACGACACGGCGCCAGCACCAAACACTCCGAGAGGATGTCTTTGCCAACAACAAATGATGAGTCATTAACAAAACAACGCGTGAAAATCCTGAACCCGAACCTTACACAACTCTAGCCCACTTGCAATGTCCATCTCCCGCATTAGGCGCCTTCTTTGAGGCATCCATCAGCGATTGCAGGCCAACCTTTCCTGATCTTTCACGAATGCTAGCATTGGGCACCACCCCACTGAGTTTCGACATATCTATCCGCGGTGGGAACCTGTGAAGAACGAAGGTGTGACAGGGTCTCGAGAGGATTCTACGCTTTCCACCAAGCTGGGTTGTTCAAGGCTACTGCAAACGGAGAAAAATGCTCTAATTTTCAGATGCACGTCTTGTCAACGCCCAGTGCTGTTCTCACGACTAGAACCTTGCAAGCCTGAGAAGCAGTGTATGGTTGCGCCGAGGACTAGGATTGTGAAGTGAAAACACCTAAACCCATCAAAGCTGCTTCCAACCGTCTTCGAGCTGCTTCCGGCCGTCTTGGAGGCTTTCTTCTGCACTGGCATCTTCTTCTTTGGAGGCTTCGGCACCTTTTGCAACCACGCCCGCCTCCAGACTGACACTCGTCTCTTGGGATGTTGCGCTTCAGGGCCGGATGCACCAGATGGGCTTAAACAGAAGGATTGACCCTTGTGCGTGTCCTCCAGTCAGGCACAGGATCTTTATTTCTTGAACTTCCAAGAAGGGGTATCCTAACGTGAGCCCCACTTCTTACCGACCCCACGTGCAAAAGGACCTTGGTCCTGCTTGGGGCTTCGGAGCAAGGGCGTATGAAGAGCTTCTGAAATCTGTCCGAGCCTCCAACCAGCCAAGAATCATTAAGCCCCACACCCGCTAGAGTCCTCAAGCCCAAAACTCGAAAATCCTAAAACCCAAACCCCCCAAAACCCTAAACCCTAAATCCCCAAAACCCTAAAAAATCCTAAAGCCCTAAAAATCCTAAAGCCCTCAAACCCTGGCTCCAAAGAGGCCTCCGCAAGAAGTCGTGGCCTTCGCCAGCCACTGCTCCTAGAAATCTCCAGCTCCGTCCCTGCGGGCGCTACTTTGCCACAGTGTATTGGATTGCTGACCGACTCTTGTCGCACTATACAGTCTTCTGTCATGGGTTCTTTCACATTATGGGTCTTATCTGTGTTACTTTTCTCTTTATTACTATCTTCTGATTGCTATTTTTTTGTAATAAAGCATGTTTTGCTTCTAGGGCTTCTCTGGCTTTGATCCAAGAAACAAGCATAGGCAACATTTGCAAAGACTCCGAGGCCTTGAGGATGGCGGGAAACTCGGTCTCGGCCTCCTGGGCTCTCGTTCCCTTAGCCTGTTTGTGACACTACACTACAGAGAAGAGTAGAGTGACTATGATATCATCTGATGTGATAGAAGATGATGTGTAGTATTCTTCGGTCTCAGGTGAGACATGATAGACAACGATGTAGTGTAGTATTCTTCGGTCTTAGCTACAACCGCAGCTTGACGCTTATAGGTGTAAGAGGCACCAGGAAGGATACTGTCCAGTCCAAAGCCGTAGTACTCCATAGCCTCAACATGTTGTCCCCTCATAACGCAAGAAAGCCCTCGAGCCTAGCCTCTATACTGAAGGGCCGCGAAGCTGCGGCCTCCAAGAGTTGTCTCCACACGCTTTGGACCTCCTGTGCCTCCTGAGGCCCTGCAGCTGTGGACGCCTGTGCCTGGACAGGGATGGGGTACACTTAAGTTCTGAGTGAGAGCCCTAATTGGAAAGTCATTTGTAAGGCTTCCAAGAAAGGGTGCCAAGAATGGAAGCTTGGGCAAAGGGAGCACAGACGGCGGAGCCTTTTTGGAGCTTAGGGCCAAAGTTGTTTTAGTTGCAGTGTACCCTCGCGTTCACGCCGACATGTAAGTTATATGAACCTAACATAGCAGCAACACACACACACAAACACAGACGCCGAAAGCCCAAACCGAAAAACCCAGCCGGTCCTCGGAGTGCTCAGGTCTGTGTCTCGTCGTCCCGGCTTGCCGCGCTCTTTTGCTTCCAACCTTGGCCTGAGCTTCTCTCTGCTCTTGGCGTGGCCCGGGCGCTGGCGCAAAGGGCCCAAACTCCTCAGCTTGAGGCGGAGAGACCTCGACCTCTCTCTGCGGATTTGGGGGTGCCGGGGGCTGCAGGGGCCGCTCGTCAATGACCCGCTTCAGGCGCCCCAGACCATCACGTTCGCCCCGCTTCTCGAGGTCCCTGTCGTAGTCCTCGCGCACGCGCGGGTCGGAGAGGACCTCGAAGGCATTGATCAAAGCCAGAAATGCCTCGTGGCTGCCGCCTTTGTCCGGGTGCTTCTCTAAAGCACGGCGGCGGTAGGCAGCACGAATCTCCAGTTCTGAGGCGTAGCGGTGCACTCCCAAGGTCGCATAGAGGTTGCGCCGCTTGGGAGGAGGCATGGCAAGCTGGCCAGGGCATCAAGGGCAGACAGGCGCCTTCTGTTTCTCAAAGTCGGGGGCTCTATCTAGGCTTAGAGCTTTCTGGGCCCTTTCGCGGGGCACACGGCAAATTGTAACCTTGAGGCTGAAGGGTCGGATCCAAACCTATCGTCGATGTGCGGGTTCCTGCCATGCAACTTATGTCTCATGAGTCTGGGTTCTTGGGACTTAGTGTGTCTTTCCTACAAAGCCATCAAGCAGCATCACCGGCACACTTGCCAGCTGCTTCCCAGAGAGCAGTTCGAACCTTCTGAACATCCCATGACAACTAGCTTCCATGTCCGCCGGACATGCGCAACTCACTGCTGCGACGGTCTCGTCTTCATGCTCCCTGCAGCCCGGAACTCAGGGCGGCCTTTTTCAGTCTGGGGGAGTGCTGCTTTGAGGCGTTCCCAAAGCGTCGCTTCGTGAAGGAAGCGCCCGCTTCCAGGTTCGCGCTCTCTGCGCACGTCACCGAGGCCCTCGCAGAGTCCTGCGGAGAAGATTTCAAGAGTCGAGCCTTCAACGCACAGCGTGTCTGGACAGGACATGGCAAAGCAAAGCCTCTCCAAAAGGAAGATATGCTTGAAGTAAACGAGCTGGAGCCGAACCAACTTGTTTCAACTTCTCTGACTGAGGGCTTTCCGCTATGGTTGCCTGTCGAATCTCCTCTTTAAAGCCACGGCGGTCGGAGAGCGCCCCCAACCATACCACGACAGAAGTCATGGTGCCGAGAGATACTCATGCGCCAGAGCAGTTCCGTTCAAGACCAAGACAGACCCATACTGAGGCAAGGAGGACAAAGTGATGATGGCAGTGGCAACAGCATTAGGTCAGTACTAAACTAGACACACACCAGAGCGACGTTTCGAAAGCATGCAAGTACCAAACCCTAAACACCTAAAACACCTAATCTTTACAACCTAAACGCTAAAACCTACACCCTAAACCGGGAAACCCTAAACCCTGTCCTTCTTCCTCTAAGAGCCTTTGCACCAGGTTGTAGCGCTCCAAGGCCTTTTCAGCGGATGTTTCGAGTGCTCACAGCTTTGCGGATGTGCTTTAGTGGCGGGTTCGTGCATTTTGCGATGTTTCTCGAAATTCGGGGGTTCTTTGTTAAGGGCCTTTGCACCAAAAAGGCTATACCTACTACTATTTAGGATCTATCTTGGGGTGCCGCTTTTCTCAAATTCTCGCGCAGATTAATCCCACCACCCCGAGACCTCCAAACCCGAAACTCCTAAATCCCCTAAACCGAAACCTGAAGGCCCTGTCTGGGTGGAGTCAGGGGTCCCTCTTCTAGTTTTAGGTATAGTAACCTCCAACAAGCCATTCTAATCATCAAGCCCCTAAACCCTAAACCTCATAGACCCGAAGCCCGTAATTTTCTGTTTTGAGCCATAGGAGCCCTAAGCCCTCAGCCCTGCAAGTAGGTCTGAGAAGGTCCGCCTCAGGGAAGTACGCCGCAAACTCGGAGGACTCGGACCTCAACCAAACCTGAGATGCCAAGTTCTTTAGGGCTTAGAGGGCTTTGAGTGATGAAGGGCTTCAGGGTAGTTTGGGGCTTTTTGGGGTAATTGAGGCTTTTAGGTGCAAGGTTTTGGGGCTCCTTAGGGGACTGCCGGAGCAAGCCTTCGCCATGATCGAGATGATACGAAGCGATCGTAAAAGCAGACGCTTCCAGTCATAGAGGTGATAGCTACGGAAAACGGTTGCCATGTTAAATGATGCAATCTCCCCAGTCGAGTGTAGAGTCTTTGCACAACATGGCCTGGCAGCATTCAGGCACAAGCGGTCCGCATCCATAGTTCCGGCTGCAGTGCTCCTCGCGACCCAGGCATAGCAGGGCTGGTCATCCCCAACGAGGTATCGAGCGGAGTGCATCAGCAAGTACCTGATCTGCCAGAGACAGGTATCGTTGCTCCGACTGACGACCGATCACAGAGGTTCAAGAACCTGATGCTGCTTCTCTTCTGATATGAAAACGCTTGGCACCATCGGAATACTTCGAGCTCGCTGACCTCGTGGCTTCTAGGATATCGTGGACGAAATCTGCGTGGCACTTATTGTGGTAGCTAGACCGTTGAAATCGTCAATGAGACCTTCAATGTTGACAAGAATGTCCGGAACGCTCGAGAATTGACTCCAATACAGAGATCCCGAAACCCTAAACCTTAACCTCCCAGCCTTAAAGACCGAAACATCGTGGGGGTCCTTATTATCTTTGCTCTTGCTATGATGATTGCTATTGCTATTGTGATTGGAATGACGACGACGACGACTACTGCTACAACAACAACAACTACTACTGCTGCTGCTGCTGCTACCACTACTACTACGACGACGACTACTACTACTACTACTGCATTACTGCTACTTCACAGACAGCGTTCTGACACCTGCTGCTTGGTTGCTCTCGCCTTTTCCACTTCTGCCGCCGGTACTTTGCATCTCCTGAGCGGTGCAGAGCTCTTTGAAGCGCATCTTTACTTGGTGCTTTTTGGAATTTTCGGGCTTCGTCAAGGGCTATGTAAGGGCCTGATGCCATTACTGATGGAGAGAACCCAAACCCGGCACTATCCGTCACAAGGACTCCAGCATAACTCCCAACAGCCTTCAGCAAGTCATGCAGGGTTCGATCCATCAGCCAACGGCTTCCTACCGAGATTATCATGGTAATACCATGAAGATGTAGGGACTAGAAGTCAGGGGTATCTGGTTAGTGTTGCTCTTGTGGACTTGTTCGAGATGAAAGAATCGACAGGGGTCTGCATGTGAAGCTTCCTGGGCCCTATAACTCTCAAATGCTTCTTCCCCGACACCCCTCCGTTTCAAACCAATAAGCACTGCCTGGCTGCTGAGATTCTCACGACAAGGCCCTCGGAGAATCCATGGAAGGAGTCCAACAAGCTTTGGCACTCTTTGGCACTTCGTATCTCCCATCGCTTCGGTCGGGGAACTCCGATGTCCACCTCGGGTCTAGGAGTCCAGGGTTCAGAGACTCGGGGTTTAGGACCAGGAAACAGGGCTTGTTTTCCTCGCCTTGGTTTCCTCTCGCCTCGTTTCGATGCTTTAGGAGCCTGGAGCTCTGGGCTCCAAGGTTTCCCAGGCAGCCCAGGCACATCGACCTCTTTCAACGTCCTCATGTCTCTGGTGCCAATGTGATAGAGCATGGCCTGAGGGTAGTCCAGCACGATCCTCCCAGCAGCGCCAAAAGGAGACCGCGAGTTTACCCTTATTCATCGAAGCCTCCACGGTGAACCCGCATCACGAAGAAGAGTCAGTGCGTGTGTATGTGTGTGGTGGGGACAAAGGGGAACGTCTTGTGATGACGTGTCAGCAACCTTCGGAACAGGACTGTAGACTACCGACGTGCGTTACTGTCTATCAGGCTTCTCTATCCCAGGTGAAAAAGTCGCTTCTGCTGCAGAATCGTCGGAAACTTCGAGGCCCTCCGCACAGGCCTGAAATCCGGATGGACGCGCTCGAACATGTAGCAGCAGCCTCCGAGGGGCATATTGGAAAGGCTCGTCGGTCTGGTATTTTGGACAACAGACAGTTCTATAGATACAAAGCTATCTGCATGCATCTCTCTGTCTCTTTGCCTACTGCTGCACGAATCCTTCAAAGGGAGAGCCAAGCAAGCCTCTTTCCTCAATCCCTTCCCTCCCGCGAGGAGCCGGAGGCCTGGATCCAGGCGACTGTAATCGAGCGAACTGTTCGCCGCTGCTTCCGCAAAGAGCTGGTAGTTCCTAAGGCGTCCCACTCCGCTCGGGCGTGCGGCCCTCAAACGGGAGCTTCAGAAAAGTGACTGTCACAGGGAGGCAGAAAGTAGCAGTGCGGACAAAGCACTCCTAGAACGTGGACTGAACTCTGACACTGAGCCAGACATGCAGTACTGTTAAAGGCCGCTGTTTGGCCAAAGCTTCGTCCTTCCTGTGCAGGCGTACTTCTCGTTGGGCTCATGCACCTTCGGCTTTGCAGTGTAGCCCCCGCAGTTAGGTTCAGGTTGCCTCTCAAACTCTGCGAAGTCTAGTGGGAAGATGGAAGTCTGACTCAAAGCTATGCGTCCGTGGCAAGAAATGTCCGACCACTCATCACGACAAGCCGTTGTTTTCCTGACAATGGCCAAAAACTAACCAGCCTGGTTCAACCGGATTGCTCTGCCACTACCACTACCACCACTACTTCTACCTAGTAACTTCTACCACCACTACTGCTACTCCTATCCAGAGTGCTATCGCCATGAAGAATGAGAACGCAGCCTTCCCAGGCTGGAGAACCGAAGCAAAGCCAACACACCGGCGCTGCCTTCAGCGTCCGGTTGCTCGCCAGGCGCCAAGTACCTCCAATGCAACTGGTCAGGTCGGGGTCTCTGAATCCTAGAACTACCTTGTTGAAGGGTTCTTGCTATAAGAACCTTCTCAGGGACCGTATTGCTCATGGTTCAGGCTTCTGTGTTAATGATAATTATAGGTCACACTGTGACGATATCAGGTAGGGTTATGATATGACAAGAAGCCCCACAAGCCGAACCCTCCCGACTTCACATAAACTTGTAGCAGCTGTATCGTTACCCTTGTAGTAGCCCGAACACCTGCCCCTCACGTGTTCCCCAAACCTAGAACCCGAAGCCCTGCAGCCCAATCAGCCCTGAAGCCCAAACCCTGACACCCACGATGCTCGGAACAGGCTGGCAGCTCTTCAGCCGGGCGCTTCAAAGAGAAGGCAGTTTAAGTCAGGGTTTCGGGTTGTGGGCTTTAGGGGTTTGCGGTTGAAGGGGTTAGGTTTGTAGGGATTTGGGGTTTCATGGGCCTCTCTGTGGATTTACAGGGGCCTGCGGGGTTCCTGTCAGGGTGTCGCAGTGTAGCAATGTAGGCTTTAGGGTAAAACTCAGTGCAGAGGCTTTCACTTCAAGCCGGTTTTGGTGACCCTAGAAGCACCGAAAGCTCAAGGTCGAAGGGCCCTGAGCAAATTGTTGCGGATCTTCGTGCTGGGCATGGCCTTGGAAATGGAAAAGCTTCAGAAGGTTGCCGTCGACCTTCTCCTGCTTTGCGCTAGATCTGCGCTCCGTAAATAAAGCATATATATATATATGTGTGTGTATATATATATATGTAAAGCAGCATGTTACATGACATTGCAGTAGATTCGATTATAGTGCATGATATGACGCTATATTAATATATGTATCTTGTTATATCAGATTCTACTACTACTACTACTACTACTAGCATGCTATATTCTGTCATATTATACTATGTTGTATGATATATCATACTCTATCAACATAATTATGTCATATTATATCCTGTGATGTTGTACTATGTTATCTTTCGAGATACGTGTGTATATATACATATATATATATACATATATATATATATAATACATGATACTGCCTTTTATTGTATTTCATGCTACTATATTATAGCATAACATGTCATGCATGTTCTATTCTATTCCATTATATTGTTTTCTGATCTGCTAAGATCAGATTTTATTCTACATGTTGTGTTGTATTTTCTTAATATATTCTACTACGCTAGATGTTACTGTTTTACTATCTTACACCATATTATCTTCTACTACGTGCTAATATGTTTGTTGTAATATGTTATGGTCTATGATGCCATTACTATATTATAGTAAAGGATATGCTATGATACTCTATGGTATGATGATATTGCATTCTACTGTCTTTATCGTGCTGTGTTGTATCTCACCATGTTATATTCTATCATATTTCTTCTCAATGTACCTTATATATATATATGTGTAGCATATATATATATATATAAATTCTGTAGTATGGGGTCCTTTAGATTGAGGGCTCGAGATTCTAATTCGGTTACCACTGTTTGATGTGCGGTCCCTGCCCACTAGTCTCCCACATACGAAAACTAAAGCCCAAAATATGCACAACTCCTAAGGAGCTCTGTTCTCTATGAGCTCACCCAAGCCCTGAAAATACACCTTACAACGAATTTTTTGGCTATACTAAAGCCCCCCTCTGGGCCCAGAACGCTCTTCAAGGCTTAGCTTTTGAGGTGTTCGGGTTGAAGGTGTGGGGTTTAGGGGGGCTTCGGGTCTAGAAATTCAAGGTTTTCAAGTCATGTTACAAGCGCTATCCAGACTTTGCTTGGGCCCTTGGATGTGCTCCCGTCTTGAATAAGGTAGACGTCCGAATCCTTCGAATGCGGGTAGGTCCTCTATCCCGACACGCGCAGATGCTCCACCCTAGCCCCGAACGCCGAGTCGCCAATCGAAAACCTTAGGACAGGACCAGCAAACAGTCCGACAATGCGGTAAGACTTAGTACCCAGAGACTCCAACCTCATAATCCGGCAATATGCCTGAAATTCTAGACGGATCCTTGACATGGCTTGAAGCATATTCCTTGTTGATGGGGTTTGGAGTCTCTGGGTAAGAGCTCCTTCACAGGCTTAACCTCACTGAACCCGAAACCCCTAAACCTAAAATATCCAAACCCTAAATCAGCACCCCTGAATTCCAAAACTCTAAGCCCTAAACCAAAGACCAAACCTAAAGTCTTAAACCCAAAACACAGAAAACTCCTAGCCCTAAGAGCACCTGGCCTCTGCAATGGCTCCATCCTCCCAGTCAATCTCCTCGGCCAGGCGTTCTCCCCTGTTCCAGAACCTCAGCTTTCAGCGAAGGCTCAGGATTTACCCTAAACCCTAATCCCTAAACCCTAGGGGACTCAGGGTCTAAGGTTAGGGCTAAAGGCTTTGGGGTTTACAGGGCTTAGGATTGGGGGTTTCGGGTGTACGGCGTAGGTTTAGTAATTTTTGAGCAGCTCAGGGATAGCCATTTTTATCATGACCATGTCCTGGTGGACTCCTCTCTCTCGATGATGATAATCACGACGGCCGCTGTGATTCATCAACGGGCTGCTCTAGCAGCAGCGTCTTCACCTTTGTGATGGCCAGGTCTCTGATCCTCGTGTTCCACCCAAAAAGCCCTACACCCTGAACCTTAAACCCTAAACCCTAAACCCCAAAAACCCTGCACCCTAAACCTTAACCCGAAACCAGGCCCAGGCGCTTGTAAAATGGCAGGCAGAGAGGTTTTCCAGAAGACTTCTCGTAGACGGTGCCGCGGTTCTCACGCAGCACTTGAGCTTCCTGTGATCTCCTAAGCCCCAAACTCAAACCCCCAAAACCTTATACTCTAAACCCCAAACCCTAAACTCTAAACCTAAACCTTGCGATGCGAAGCATGGACCCCCCCCCACTACTCTTGACGGCCGGGCCTGAACCTTAAGCCTGTAACGGGCCTGAATCTTGCACCTTTTCAAGGCACCGCACGTTCATGAAACAAAAAAGGCCTGAAGGGTCAGAGTAGGGTTTTGGCAGACTTTGTATGCAAGCTGTATTCAAAACCAAAAAGGGTCCCCTAAACCCTAAAACCCTCAAACCCTAAATTGAAGGGGTATTACTTCTAATTACTCCGACCCTCTTTGAAATCCGGGGCCTCACTGGACCAAAGCGGATGGCTGTGATCGGCAGAGACGATGAACAGCAGCTCATCCTCCTGTTTTGATTACTTTCGGCGCCTTAATACTTTCGAAAAGGTCTGTTGGTTTAGGGTTTTAGGTCCATGATAACTGGAAAGTTAGAAAATGGCCATAGGGTCCACTATTACACTGTTGAAGGAAGAGTAACACGAATTTTTCGACCCCTATCTTTGGCGGCTTGTCGGTTCGATGAGGAGTTCATACGGATTCTGAAGATGCTTCTCCGTCTTCGTCTTCTGCTGCCAGTCTTCCTTGCCTTCTTCGGTTCATGAACCATCGCCCCTATAGGACCCAAGCCGTAGCACGGTGAAAATCCCGAACTCCAAAGCCATAAGCCCCAAAGCCTGCAACATCCCCAAATTCCTAAACCCTAAAATCCCTAAACCCTAAAATCCCTAAGCACTAACCGCCTGAAGCCCCAAAACCCTAAACCCTTTAAGCCATGCGCCTCGACCTCCAGTTGGTAGCGTTCTCTCAGTCTTGCACGCCGCTCTTCCCATGAGCAGAGCGCCGGATCATCCCAAAGAGCTTCCAGAACCAGCTTGCAAGGCGAGGTGCTCCGAGTCCTGTTGGTTCATGGCTGGGTTTAGGGGTTTAGGGTTTAGGGTTCAGGGTTTTGGGTTTAGCGGGTTTGGGTTTAGAGTTTAGGGTTTAGGGGGTTTAGGGTCCTGTCGGTTTAGGGCTGGGGGCTTGGCTCTAACCTCGCCCTAGGGCCCAAGGGCCCAAAACGATCAGTGTAAGGGCCTGAACAATCACTAAACAAGCAACCCTAGACCCCTAAACCCTAATGAATGTCACTAAACAACAAACCCTGGACCCCTCAACCCTAATGAAACATCCTATAAGGCCGCTTCCGCGGGCTCCTGAGTAGATATGTCATCTAGAACCCGACACCACTTCCCCAGTCTGATGATGCAGATTCCTATACGAAACCCTGTCAAGCCCGTAGAAAC